GCCGTTGCCATGGCCGCATGGTCTGTGATGTCCGCGCACGCGCCCTGAGGCGAAAACCAGCCCGCGGTCCAGCCCCAGGACTCCGGCGTCGGGGCAGCCCAGCTCCCCTGCATGGCCTGGAGGCATGAACCGCAAGAAGCTGCAGAAGCTGACCGACACCCTAAGTAAAAGTTGCAAACACTGTAAGTACGAATCAAGGGTGCACGAGCCGGAGCTCTGGGCCGAGTTCCGGTCCGGTCCAACCGGGTGCTAACGTGCTGCTGTTCCTGCTTTGCCCTTGGGGGTCCAGGTGGCTGCGCCGCCCTTCCACCCCGCCCTGAAGGGGAGTCTGGTAGGGTTCCACGGCCCAGGACACCAGGGGCCTGACCATGCATCTGGTGTCCCAGCACTCCTGCACGTGCACTCACTGGCTTCGCTGTGCAAACCACTGCCTAGCCCACCTGTGCGTTATAGAAACTTGATTCCCCGGAGTTCTTCAAAAAGTTCACGGAAACTGTCCTGTGACATTTTCAAATCAGTTGCACCAAAATAAGCTGTCCTGGATTTCCAAATCAATTGCACCAAAATAGGCTTGAACTTTAATTCCGTTTTCCAGGAACTATTTGAGGTCCCTTTGTAAATGCCCAGAAGACCCCGTAGGTCTGTGTAAAGTAAGTACCAAAACCCAAAGGATTCAAGAAACGTTAGCACGGCCTGCCTACCTCCTGCTTCCTAGCTCGGCCCTGCGAAACAGCCAGTTCTGACAGCTTTTCAAGAGACCCACAGGGGAAAATGGTCTCCAGCGTCCCGATGTCTTTAGGAAAGTGGAGCTGAAGTGGCACAGGAACTTGTCTCAGAGCCAGGGGAGGGCTGAGAACATGAAAGAGCTCAGCAATGCCAACACACCGCAGAAAATCCGCTTCTGCCTCTAGACTTCCACTGTCCGCTGGCCAGTGGGTGCAAAGGTGGGGGAAGTGTTGCAGGTGGCAAGGTGAGGACTCAGTGAAGATCCCTGTTCTAACCACACGTGTAAAAAGGTGGTTCTGGAATGTCATAGGAAGCTTCAGGGTTGCATTCAGACTGAAAAGTAGAACTTCTCTTGGGCGTAAAGTAAGTGGGTGGCTTAGATGAGAAAGATTCCATCTAAAAAGCAAGCTTCAAAGTGGTGTGCGGATTGCAAATCCCCCAGCCACTGAAAACTGGAGAGGCCGCCATCCCCCAGACAGTCCGGCCGAGCAAGGAAGGAGAAACACATGTTCCAGGGTAGTTCTAGAGATGACAGAATCTTGGGTTTTTTACCGTCAGATTACGGTGAGAAATGCTCTCCCAGCAGAAGGTGCCAGAAACAAAAGCTGTGTGAGGCAGAAGAACCTTAAAATGCTCAGGAAAGAGGTATCCTGCACTTTAAGATATCATGATTACTACAATGTGATGAAGGTTTTGTTGCAATTTTTCTTAAAAGAGTTTCATTCCAGGGAATAGAACAGATAGTCTTAAATATTTCTAATAAATTCTCATAAGCAATACAATAACTGCTGTACATGGTACTGAATTGTATGTAGTCCTTGTTTAGTAAGTTTACAATGCCCTGCACACAAATGTTCTGGGAACAATTAAAAATGAGTAATCTAGAAGATAAGTGAAAACATAGCAGGGGGAACCATTGGATTACTAGTTAATTCTGTAGAAACAGTCACAAGTCGGGAGTACAGTAATCATTTTAAATCTGTTCAGAGAACTTCCCCCTAAGTCAAATTTCATTTTCCTTGCCAGGTGATAATGCTACCAGGTGGAAGTAGGTACACTGTGTATAATCAGGAAAGAAGGAACACTTAGAGGAGCTCTGAGTTAGCCTACCGGCCTTCAGATAACAGGGTCAGCAGGGCCCAGAGCCTTTCAAGATCAAAAGTCATTCTTGAATTTCCCTTAATAATTTGGTGCCATATTGTACTCTAGAATTTAACAAATACTTCAGCAAGAGAAGTTTTGCTTAAATGGCTGCCCTTTACGCCTTTGGCTAATAAAATAAGGTCTTTATTTCAGCTGAGGTGCAGAAATGGCTGACAGCACCCCCTCGGCTGGCATGCCCGTGGACAGAGCAGACCCTTCCTCACGTGGACTGCTCTCCAACCACTGGCAGGTCTTTTCTTTCTATGAGCGGGCTTCTTCTGTCTGTTGCTAAATGTATGCAACATCAAATTTGCCGCTTTAACCATTTCCGGTCTGTAGTTCTGGCATTAAATACGTTCGCATTGCTGGCCGTCACCACCGTCCATCTCCAGAGCTTTGTCATCTTCCCCAGCCCAAACTCCATAGCCATTAAATACCTGCCCCCCGTCTCGCTTCCCCGGGTCTTGGCAGCCATCGCTCCATTTTCCGTTTCTGAGAATGCCGCTGCTCCAAGCGCCTCATGTGAGAAGAATTACACAGTATCTGTTCTTTCGTGTCTGTCTTATTTACGAAGGAAGTCTCCATAGATGTGCACCCACACCGTAGCGTGTGTCAGATTCCGCTTCCTGTATAAGGTGAGCAATATGCCAGTACAGGAATGTGCCACATTGTGTTCGTCCACTCACCCACGGAGGGCCACGGGTTGCTTCTGTGTCTTCGCTGTCGTGAATAATGCTCCTGTCAGTGTCAGTGCAGAGGGTCTGAGTTCCCGCTTTCCATTCTTTGAACACTATGCTGAGAACTAGAATTCCTGGACATGTGGTAATTCCGTATTTAATTTTTGAGGAATCGCCATACTGTCTTCTGCAATGAATAACAGCTCTTTTAAAAATCAACTATTATAATATTTTCTGCTATTTACTTGTGTTCTCTTTCTCTTCCTCCTTCTCCTCCTTTTTCTTCTTTTTTCTTCCTTAATTGGCCAGAGGGCACATGCAATTGAGAGGGTGCCTGCACACCGCGGAGGACATGATCACACCACGGTCCCTCCTTGGTTTCTCAGTCCCGTGCACACACATTCACTCAGCGGATTGCCAAGCCCTCAGGACTGGGATTGGAGCTTTGTAGTTAGCCATGAGGGACTTGAGTTCCTTAAGCACTAAGCCACAGGGCTGGCCCCATCTACTACTTAATTTATTCACTAAACACTTCCCATAATTTTTTTTTAATTTTTATTTTCTACCTTAATTCACTATACACCATCACAACCCACCAATAAATTTTCCATCCAAAATACACTGTGCATTGGCTCAATCAAGCACATCCACATACATGTTCTCAGCAAATAATTTTCCAATTCTTACGTCCTGCATACCTTGCCCTTTGTCTTGCCATCCCTGATTCTCCATCCCCCACCCTCTGTCATGTCCCATCCTCCTCCCCCATTGTCCCTGGCATCCATGGTTGCCCTCCATGCCTTCCTCCCCCCATTCAATTGTTCTGCCAATGAACTCAATTAGTCTAAATATATCCAATAGCTAGCACAGCTGACACATACCTATACATGTACCCAAGTCTGACCCTAGGCATAAACCCCAGTGAGTAGAATGAACATACTATGAAGTAGTACCCA